TTTTTTTTGTTTTAAAGATTAGCATAGATTTGTATATTTCCTTTAACATCATTACCTAAATTGAATTTTAGTATTTACTTTTGTCCTACTGAGGCTGTATCATGTTTTATAAAAAATGTGTCTTTATAAAACATGATACAGCCTCAGTAGGACAAAAAAGTGTCAGGACAGAGCCTGTCTGCTTCCATCTAGGTTACAAGTCTGGAGTACAAGGCCACCTTAATGATTATGTTAATCAAGTGAACTTTAGGTTGGTTGATGTTCAAATCAAATTCTTAAGTGCAGCTTGAAAGAAACAATCGGCAATAACATTCTCTCCTAAATCCTGCAATTGAAAAAATGATTTTTCTTACAAATTACTTCTTGCAAAGGCCAAATACATTGGTGGAGTAAGAATTTTGAACTTGTGCTTGCTGCCCAATCTCTGTTGTACCAGCATACCACATTTTAGTACAACATTCAAGCCTCCAGACTGAAAATTGTACTTTACTAGGTTTGTGCGTGTGTTTTCTTTCTTTCTTTCACATTCTTTCTCTGTTGTTACATATGTACACATATATTTGAAACAGAAGAAAACTATGAGGGGTAGACAATGATTATAGAGCTCTCCTTTCTTGTCCAGGATTCACTTGACTGATTTGTAGAAGGTTGTGGGATTTCTAATATATTTTGTACAGATATTTTTATTGAATTTTTAAAATATCACAAGCAGGTCTTAGGCATCTTATTTCCAAGCTGTACAACAGCCTGCTGAACCATTTGTTTTTCAGAGATGCAGATAACATACAAAATGTTTCTTACATCATAAAGTTCAATTCATGAGGCTTCCATAAGCCTCCAACAGCTGAATTTGAAACAAGGTCGATGCTAGTTGTTTTCTGAGATTGAGATATTGAACAAGCAATGCTTAGAATTGTTTTAACCTTACAAGTAGATTTTTCTTTTCTTTCTTTTTCTCCTTTTACAAGTAAATTCTATCAAATTTCTATTTGTTTTCCTGTCATGCTTTATTTATGTTTTTTTTTAATTGAGGTCACATTGGTCTTCAGCCTTGTTGGTGTTCTGGAGGAGGTACAGGCTCTCCCTCTTCAGGTGTTGTTCTTCACCAGAGTCCATTGTGCTTTCTCTCCCCTCTCCGTTTCTGGTAGTCTCAGTTCTCTGGTCATACTTCTAGGGTTTGCTATTAGTTTGGTTGTATCTG